AACCTAACCGGACCGCAACTAACTGGTTACGGTCGGTTATTTGCAGTTACTAACCGGTTAGGACCGAAAAATAAATAATCAGTTATAACAAGGCAAATATGCTCATATGTATCTTCATAGATATTATTTCTGCATATTCTAGCTTTAAAACGAGCCCAAGAACGCTAAAATCGGTGAAGAATTGACATGTTTATGCAATTATCCTTGAAAGTCTACACATTTGACTGATATTTTAGAGAGTTGACTGTAACTTAGTCAAATTTTAAGCATTTTCGACGTTCTAAAGTGCGTTTTGAAGGTGTATAATAGGGCTGGTTATAACCGGTTATTTAACGGTTAGTTAACCACAAAATAACCGGTTATTCCATTTTCGAAATCAACTAACCCTAACCGCGGTTAGGTTAGTGTTGCGGTTAGGTCCGGTTATTTTCCGGTTATTTTCCGGTTAACTAACGAGGACGTTCCGTATTTCGAGAGTCCGAACTGCCGCCGATCCGCCTGTCCGCCTAAGGCACATCGTCACGTGTACATTTTTTGGTATTTAGAAATCTACCTGCGGAGAACTATCGCAACTGTTGGCGACCAGGTCCCCCCAAAGGTAGCCACGAGGATCCCACAAAACTTGAGTAAGTATAAATGATGCTTCCATTAAGTCTCAGTAACCTTACTTGAGCTTGAAGAGTGAACTTCGCGTCTGTGCCAACATCAAGAACAAGCAACCGATTTTTTTATTGCAATGATAGCAATGTACCACACAGCCCACAATATGAATGACTGAGTATGAATACAACACAAGGCGGGATCTAAATAGTAGTCATAATCGCGGGCATGCATGTCGTGGGGTATCATAACCAGAGGCGTATTAGATGCTGCAGCCGAGCGCAAGTTTGCGCATGACCCTGCTGAAGTGTCGGGGTACATGTCGGTGGTGATGGCACTTGCTGCCGCCGCGCAGGCCGATGGAACGACCGATGAAGAGGAAGACTTGCCCTTCTTGAGCTTGCACATCTTCCCCTTGGAGGTTGTCGATGTCCCAGTGGCACCACCAGTTTGGGTTGCCGTTGCCGTTGAGGATGCGGTCGTGGTTGCGTTAACAGGAGTGGAAGTGCCACCATTCACAAATGAGGCGACAGGAGAACCAGGGAGGTGTATGGTGCACTGGCATCGAACACCTGGGAATCAAAGATGCCAGAGTTGTTGTCTGTACGCGCCTGGCAAACTGACCAACCCCGAAGGGTCAGGGACTCCAGTGCCCGATGCGCCAACCGTGAGCCGCAAACAGGCGGGATAGAACTCCGCACCGCTGAGTGATGTGGCGAGATGGAGAGCGATATGGAAAGCGATGACTTCGTGGCAGACGAGGTAGTTTCCTGGCGCGAGGTTGGATGGGAGTTGTATGCTTGGGAGGGAGCCGGACACTGTTGTACATAAGCGGGGATCATTAGCGCAACTCGGGAGAAACTTAGAGCCAGGAGCACGACGTACTTGGTGGATCTTAAACCATTTGGCGGTTTGTTGTCACGGGTCGTTGACCCGCAAGATGCTAGATATGTGAGCATTGGGCCGGTATTGTGAGGCCAATAGAAGATTGTCAGCATTTTCATTGAACAGAACGAAAGGAGCATACGTCGCTGCCATCAGCACCTTTCTAATCGAAGCCAAGCTGGTCACGAAGGTTCGCGTTGGCGATGAGGGTCGCAGGTTGAGCGTAGCACTGGATTTCTGGCACCCATGTTAGGGTTTGTAGTGGAAACTCGGCGGATAACACTAGAAGGTCCACAGTGACTGTCAAGTCTCGCTGCACGAACGGCGCAAAGTTGGCGCAAAGGTGAAGAGGCTCGTGACCATGTTTGGTGGCGGCAGGTGCCGTGCGGACCAGACAGCGGACAGGCGGATCGGCGGCGGTTCGGACTCTCGAAATTCGGAACCTTCTGTAACTAACCTAACTTTCAAACACTAGAAGCGAGGCCAAATGAGGATACTCTGGAACCAGATGCCAGCTGGGATTTGACGCGACCTGAAAAAATTAGGAATCCAGAGCCATAGCAGGCCCCCAGGTGTCCGTCGTCTTTGCCAACACAGTAACCCAAGCAGGATAGAATTGCCGAGGATTGAGAAAGGATGACCGGCGAAGAGGAACTTAGCCAGATGCGCTACCGCAAACTTCAAGTTACTAAGATCACTCCAAAAAGTAGTAAATTGTGAAAATGAACGTACCTGCCACCTGTAGCCTATGCCTCTTCTAGTGTTGCCGAAGTTCAGTCCAGAACTTCGGTTCGAACCCCGATCCTCTGAAACCGAACACAAGTTCGGTTCAAATTCAGGTTCAGTTTCGGCTCCAGAAAATTTCTGGAGNACAGGTTCGGACTGAATTGAACCTCTGAACCTTTAGCCACTGGTGGGCCTACTTTCCCTCTGTTTTGGACATTTTTTTGCAATTTTTTCGTTCAAAACTATTGTGATCTGTAACAACTACAGTATTTAAATGTAAAGTATCAATCCTTCATCTGGGTGATGGTTGATGGCCATATTTCGGGTTGCTTTCCCACACGTGCACTTGTTGGGGTCTGTTGTATAATATCTATTTGGCTTATCAAACATGGTTTGTGCCACGGCATTGCATAAATAACTGATTTTTAGAGATTACACATGTGTTTCGAAGCGTTTGGACACGAAAAAAAGGTGAAAAATTTGATTTAAAAAAATTACAAGGTTCAGAAGGTTCGAACCTGAACCGAACGCACAGTTCGGGTTCGGTTCAGGCTCGGAAAATTTGTAGGAGGTTCAGGTTCAGGTTCGGACCAAAGGGGGTCTGAACCGGACTGAACCGAACTTCGGCAACGCTAGCCTCTTCGCGAAATTTGACCTTGCTTCCGAGTGACTCTACAGCGAGAGGGACAAAAACGACTTCATCAACCTATCATCGTAATTCGGCCGAAAGGAGGGCGTTCCAGCTCAATTCCAGCTCGAGAATGTTTCCTACTTTGCTTTGTTGATTGGGGAGACGACAGCCACACAAAGGTCAACAACTGACGGTGAACTTGAATCTGTGCAAGCGAGATGTTTTATGTACATAGATTGAATGCTTACTGAATACTTTGAAGATCGATTATGTGCGGTTAGAACACCACACACAATCGGCGGACCGGGATTATCCGATTACGGCCCATGAAAGATCAACGACAGCGAGGCTTTGGCGAGGCTAATCCGGGGCCTCGCAAAATAAAGGTCAGGGCTCTTGAGCTTTGCCTCCGTAATCCGGGACTGGCGCAAAAGTAGATAGAATTAGATAGGCTCAGAAACTCAACAAAAAATATAATTAAATTTTGATCGAGGGTTCGCCGAAAACGAACTTTCTCCGCTCGCGATTTCGTAGCTCTCCTTTTATAGGCGATAACTCAACGATAACTTGGTTAAGCTGAGTTGCGATCTCATCTGGACCATTCCCATCAAACTGCACGGAAATCACCATCAGGCTATCGGTTGGATAGATGGTCACCGGTCAGCTCCCGGTTTCCCGGAAGAAGTTCATAAGTTAGTATACATATGTAGCATCATCTGAACTCTTTTTCACTGTCGCCGCTCCACCCCACTCCCACAGAAACGACCATGTACACTCCCACCATTCTGGCGCTTCGAGGTGAGCTGATTTCTATTGCTTCGATATCTCCAAGCTACATCCCAATCCCAGTCACCAACTTCTTTCTCACCTTGATTGGTGTCCTTGCAACCTGCTTTCGGCTATGGCGTCGAAAGACCACAACTCATATTTGGTGGGATGACATATGGGCCGCGCTGGCGATGATCCTCGGGATTATTTTCATGACCTCTTTCGAAATCTTCTTTCAAAATCAGAGTAAGCGTTTCTATTTCCTCACTAACCGCGGCCGCCGTCATATGTGAATGCTGATTTGATTTGCTCCTTCAGCTTCTCACACTCTTGCAACTAAAACAACTATTTATTACCTGTCAGGCCTTTTTCCTGGCATCAAGGACTTCTGACTAACTTGCATTCGATCAGTGTTGCCCAGTCTTACCTTGCTGTGAATGGGTGAGATCCACACTGCTACTCCATTCCATCTGTTGTAACTGTGGCATCTATCTAGGGCTGCCAGAATTTCAATTCTTTTTATCGTGATCCGCATCTCCGTAGGAAGAGTGCGGTATATTCTCAAATGGGTCGCAGCTATTTTCCTTCTAACATGGTTTATTCTTACCGCTCAATTGCTCTGGACGTGCGAGGGGAAAAACGCGGATTGGGGCCCAAGCCATTTGATTTGCGCAGTGCCCTTGAGAGTTGCGATTGTACAGTTGACCAGTGAGTTTCAACATCACGGATTTATGATGACTTATTTTATTCTTTTACAGCCGATGTATTGAGCGACTTCATCTTAATTGTAACGCCCCTCCGTCATGTCTGGAAAATAAAGTTATCAAGGTCACAAAAGATCCGCATTATAGCGATTTTCTCCAGCACGATAGCTATGACAATCGTCAGTGTCAATCATGCGTATTGGCTGATAGTAGACGGTGGCGGGTTATCTGAGGCCCTGGCGGCAGTCATCCAGGTGTGTATAGGGTTGCCTCTTCGCGTCCTTTTTGCTGACCTTCAACTCGATAAGAATTCCGTTAGTCTGCTTGTTTGCAATTTCAGCGTCATAATCGCCTTCATCTTCCAAATCGCGGCGGAAGATGCAAGGGGCTCTTACCATGTAGAAGCTGGGACCCTCTCTCTCCGGTGTAAGGTGCCTAGTGGTGTGCCTTCAGGGACAGGTGTGCGTATTGAGCGGACCGAAGTGATAACTTTGGACAGCCTTGGTTCATTGCACGGGAACACGACAAAAATCGGTCAACCTTTTGACACGGATAGGAAGGATTTTTTGATGGAACAGGACTGCACATGATGCACATTAGATATCTGAAAAAATGCTCCTTTAGTTTTTGATGTACTACTTCACGTAGAAATGACGCTCAAACCACGTAATCACGGAACTGTAGATGCGACACTGGTACGTGTTTATATCTTGACGTTTGAAAAAATAATGAGATCGGGCCCCGAAACAGGTCCTGTAGATGTCGGGGAGCGATGTCGAAGCTATCTCAAATCAAGGATCTCTATAGCGTAAGAGAGCAGCTCGAAAGAGTTCCTTTCTCTCATTTTGAATGGCACATGAAAGATTGTTAGCCAAGGCTTTTTCACCACGATACACTTAAATGTACATGTCATTCTATGTCAAATTTCGATAACCCTCAGCCGGCAAAGCACCTACAACCGCGGCCAACGTTCCCTTAACACGCAAATCATAATAGCGCTCTGCGAGTCGGGTCCCCATGAAGTTATGTTGTCCGATGGGACGGACCATCAGCAAATCTACAGATTACTTTTTGCAACTCCAGAAAGATATGGGATCGACAACGAAGAGAGCGTGGCGTCCCAGGCGGGGGCGGGTGTGAAGTCCAGCGAAGATGGGATGCGTGATTCAAGATCTTTGTGAGGTCCAGGGTATAGGATATGCGAGTTGAACATCAAGAGAGACCGAGGGGAGGTGTGATTGGAAAAGGTACGGTTGTTGGAATAGAAGGGTGATGCCAAACCTATGTGTCCTTTCAAAGATAACTAAGGCGACATCATGAAGAACTTAGATGTTGAAGCGCTAATGACAGCAGTGATAGCAATGTAAAATGTCAGTAATCGACGAGGAGGATCTCAATGTTGATACTCACCAAGAAGCATATCCATCAATAGCATCATGCCCCCCAGCTGAAGTTCAACAGAGAGACGCGTCGAGGGACCCTCGCTAGACCGTACCAACGACACTTGAAACTCAGTATTCGTTACGCTCCGTAGCTGGACGAGCACGAGCGAGGCCGAGAAGAGATTGTTAACAGGACACTCGACACCCTTATCGATCGCGAACATGTCATGGAGCGACGGGAAATGAAAAAAGAAGAGAAGCAGTCACATGTTCCAGTTCCTCGACTTGGGAAGGGAGATCGGCTAGACGAGACGTAGGTAGTACTTCAGGTTTTTTGTCAGGCCTGTCGACGGTAGCTCGATCAACAAATTGAAGGAGAGCCAACGAGAGGGGAGAGCTAAGGGCACGTTGTATGTGGTGACAAGAAAGCGGGGATCTCTAAGACTACATAACCCTAACCCTAAGTTACGTAATAACAACTAGCTTTCTTCCACCATCACCTAGACTTGCACAAACACCCCGTCTCAATAACGCGGAAGACAAGGATTGGTCGCTACGACTGTAATGCCAGAACTAGCAAGATCTCCTCAGGATCCCGCGGGCAAGATGGTGACGGCAAGGAGATTGCAGAAGGCGGCGAGCATGGCGAGGTGGGGAGTAAAGGCGAGCATCATGCCAGGTTGACGTGAACGATAGTACTAATGGGTTCAGAAGAAAAAAAGTGTAGAGAGGCTGGCGAGGAAGTGGTCCTTGGATGAATTGGAATGAACTACAGTCGCGGACAGCCAAAGTCAACCAAGTTGATATCTCGGGAAGGACTAAATATTTTGACATTCTGACTTCAGATGCAAACTCAGGCTGTGAAAATACGTCAAAAAACACCTCTTTGAAGTTTTTCCCACGAGAAATTGGGTTGGCCAAAATTTTGGACTACTTTTGTCATCCGGTAAGGCTCTTCAGCAGCTCTTAAGACCCCCTTGGCAGGTTCCCAATGCCGGAGGTGACCGAAAAATTTAGTGGCACTTGCCAAACCTTGTAATTCTGATCGGAAATCAGTAATATACAATCTGCTAAAGGTGGGAAGAGGAGGGGGGTCAAAAGGACAGGGTTCATTGAGGGTCCATGGGGGTGGGAAGACCCTGAATTGCCATTTTAGGTAGTTTAAAATCATTTTTTTCTACAACAACGCCTCATCAGAATTTTCCCAAAGTCCAGGATCAGATGCAGAACTAAAAAAGGAGTCGATTGCACTATTTTTCATGATTTTAGGGGTCCATTTGAGGGCCGGCCAATATTTTGGGGGTAAAATTTCTCATTTCATCGATTTTGAAAAATCGGCTCGTGGAAATCGAAGCATTGAGTCCTAATCTTCACGTTTCTGCAATAAAAAGTACTGTTGAAGGTTGTGCAGGGTTCTCACATCACGATCACAAAATTAGTTGACTTTGGCTGTCCGCGACTGTATGTTGGAAAAGAGTTCAGGTACTTGTCAAGCATCGATTGGTGCCCTACTTACAAGCTTAAAGGGCAAAACATCTTATCTCGGCTTGATCTCGGCGAAACTGTCCTCTTATAGTGCCTTTTAGGCCGAGCGTTTCATTCAAGTCTTTATAGCCCTGCAAGGCACATAACATTTGGTTCTTCCGACATTCTCCACTTATATTTTGCGACCGATGAGCACCTCCAAGTTATCTATGCGTCGTGGCTTTTTTGCATGCCTCGGTGCAGTCGTTCTCGGTGGCACGCAACGGAACAAAACAATCCCTTGG